CCCGCCACGTCACGCCCCGCCCCGACTAATGACCCACCGGCCTCGGAGGAGCTCTCCGTATGGAAACTTGCCCCACCCCGCATTTGACTACACTGTCAAGAAAGTAATCCGACTGCAGGTAAGATGGGAATGGGGGAAGTTTGCGCGGCAATTTTTTCTTCTCCTTTGCGGCTAGGGGTAGGCTTGCGGCCGGCGGCTAGCCGCGATGAAGTTGAAGTCGGGAGCTTGCGGGTGGCGCAAGCTGCAGCAGCAGCAGCTGGATGGATGGATAGTACACGGCTCACGGCTCCAATTAGTTTTTCGCAGCTCGCACCTGTAAGCCTTGCGGCCCTCTGCCATAGGCCCGGAAGCCCAGCGCACCTGCGACCTATTCGGCCATAATCCGCGGTTCGCCGGTAAAAGTGGGAAGAGTCTTTAGGGCGCATACGTCGCGCCCTGCAGCGCCCAGCTCCGCTTTCCCGCGATGCTAGGCGGCTCAAAGGTCCGCGCCGAGCCGAGCCGAAGCGGTCGATGGAGCTCGCTGCTGTAACAGGTGGATGGTGCCGACTCCACCAGTGGCTCTCGAACTCGGTGAGCAGTGGGACCTGAAGGAGGCCAGCTCGCATGCAAAGCCGACGATATGGTGCCCTTTCAGTGCAACATTGTTGTGTGTTGTGGTGGTCGTAAGATGTAAGTTTATGTTTTAGTTTTCAATTCAGATTTGGTGTCGGCAAAGCGACCCGATTTCTAGCTGGAAAACGGCTATGCACAGCTACCGGAAAACACAGTCTTAGAATCAAGATCATTGAAAAAATGAATATCCAAGTCCTATAGAAGGAAGGGATTATCTTAAAAGTACATCCGTTTTTCTCAGATACATTCGACTACTTACAGGAGCTCGGCGCCTGCGAGGCTCGGGGTAGGCCACACCGCAGTACTCGCATGCACTCGAGGTGAGATATTGCCTATCTACCAGGCGGCATTAGAGCAGAGCTTGCCGCTTCCGTAGGGTTAAACTTGGCTGTTTTGGTGTATGACGGGACGGACGTACTTTATGGCCAGTAGTGCAATGCAATGTTGTAGAGTGTAATGATTGAAGAACACACTGCAAAAAATTAGAGTCTGATACAGAACGATCTACAGCGTTACTGTA